AACCGCCTCCGCCGTTGCGCCGCTAGCAAAGACGACGAAGCTAAGACTGGACTCATGCGGTTTAGAGAAGCTCGTTATAGCGAACGCCGTTTTACCGACCCCAGTTTGTCGAATCGCCTCATAGCGAAGCTCAGTTTAGAGAAAATGGCGACGAGCCCGAAGAGCTTCTTTTTAGCGAATCTACAGTTGATAGAAACACTGTTTATCGAATTCCTGGGGGCGCTGGAGTGCTTGCCAAGCTTAGCTGAAAGTCGCGGCGCAGCCGGAGCTCTCTACACTGGTAAGCTCATAGGGTCCAGGACAAGGAGCACGAATGCAGACCGGACAGCCGAGACGCACGGAAGCGAAAACCTCAGTGGCAGCTAGCACCCAGCGCCAGCGTGCTGCAGAGGAAGCGATGGCCCCGATGGTGCGGCTGCTAGCGACTTCTGTTTCACTTCAATGGTGTTCCGCAGTGGTTCCGCGTTTCTTTTGGCAGTGTGCGATCGGCGTCGTCATGCGTGGAGGTCTGCGTGAGCGATGAGCATGCTTTTGCGGTAAAAGTTATCGCGCCCAGTGTGAACGCGCCTGCGGTAACAAATCTGCTCCGCAATATGTGAAATGTGTGAGTGAAAAAGGGGAGGGCGGGCTGGCTGGCTGGTTGTGTTCGCGTCAAAGTGACTACATGTGGCGATGATCGTGACTGTGTACTAGGCGACGTCTCCTGTTACACGAAAAGTGGGCGTATTTTTTTGTCTCTTGGAAACACTTGTCCCCTTTCCTATACCCCAACGAGGGTAGAGTTGCAGAGTATTCGATTCCAACTTGGGAATTGGAATGATTCCAGGATCGCTCCACAGTGGCGATGGAATGGGTTTGGACCTGCTGCGAAGCTGCAGGAAAGAAACGAGATGTAGAATGCAAACGTAATGTGTCGTTTGTTGCAATAGACACTCTCAGGAAGTCTAGGAATGAGAAAGGCAAATCTTCCGAACAGCTCGCAGTGCCAGAAGTCAGCGACCTGTCATTATCGACAGTGTTACTACTGGGGCCCTAATCTGGACGCTTGGCGAAAAAGCCGGCGACAAATCTGGCAGCTATGATTGGCCGGCGCCGACGTCAAGTGCAGTGTTGGCTAATTAGCCGCCAGATTTCTCACCGACTTTTTCACTCTGGACACTTGGGGTCAAACTGAAGTAAGCACAGGGTGCTAAATGACCACGACTGGTCAACCTGCCGCAGTATCAGTCCTGTATGCTAGTACAAAGATAACATGTAAGCAGGAATACAATACATTAGAAAGGGGTGTGTCTGTATGGTAGGGGAAGAAAAAAAGTGCATGCTGGGATATTGTTTGTTATATTGATCGCTACATTATTGTGTGGTTTAGACAGGTGAAAACAGATGTGTTGAAAATCAGTCTCAGCTGCATTCTGTGGTTTCTCTACTTCTGTGTCTAAGCTGCTTGTAGATATCATTTCTTTGTATTGCAACATTTTAGCAGTGGTCTCTTGCATCTGAAGATGTGGGGTTCTGCCAGGCACTGTTAGTATATTAGTAGGGATATGAAGGGAAGGAGGAAAGGAGGGGAATGACTTTTTGACCAAACAGTCTTCTTTAGGTTGTGAGAGCGGGGGTCTGCCACTACGCCCAGGGGCCGCTACCGACCGCCCAAAAAAGTGCACAGTCCGAAGCGCACAACAGTGCATGAGGAATAGGTGCAAGAGCCTATAAAAGGAGGACACGCCCACAGAATGGGGAGGACGGACCGAGGGCATGGAGAGGTGTCGGTCGAACGCTACGGCAATGTTATACTTCAAATACTAACTAACCCATTCCTGTTACTTTAATAAATGTAGTTTCTTGTGAAAACCCCAACTTCGTGTTGTTCCTCGTGGATGGGCATGCAGCAAGGCAACCCTATCACATGGCGCCCAACATACTTTTGCTGCCCTTCTGTCGGAGCGACACAGGGCTGAGTTTCTTCTCTCGGTAAGTTTTTTTTCAACTGCGGTGTTTCTTTTCGAAGAAGTGCTTGCATTCGCGACAGCGCAGTTGTTCGTTAAATTAGAGCCTCAAAGCGTTGCTTAGTCACGCGGGGGCGTGTTTATCGCTTTGGAGGCGTGTATTTTTCTCGACTGGAGTTACCGTCTGTTGCCGCACACGTTTTTCTTGTCTGCTTGGCGTCTATTTTTTCCGCCATGACTCCCACACTATGGTCCGAGACGAAGGATGGCAAAAAGCCTGAAGCAAGCGTGGATCCCGGAGGAGGCTCAGTGGATGCACAAGCCGAATTGCTACTGAAGGTGGCAGTCATGTGTGATGCGGTCACACAGCGTCTCACCGTGCAGCAGTCGCGTGAGCCAAAGCTGCGTCCCCAGCTGACTGTGCCGGCCTACACTGGCTACAACGACGCCAAGTCAATCGCCAACTTTCTGGGTGAGCTCGACGTCTACAAAGCCGCCTCAGGCGCCTTGGAATCCCTCGTGATAAGCCAAATACTCCCACTCGTTCTACGGTATAGCGCTGAGTGCTGGTTAAGGCCGCAAGTTACGTTCACCAGCCTAGCGGAGTTCGAGCGGCAATTCCGAGCAGTGTTCCTGCGACCCTGTCACGAGTTACAAATCTTGAGAGAACTCGAGTCCCGAATGCAACATCCGAACGAAAGCCTGGTTCAATATGTCCTCGCATTTCAGGAACTCACACGAAGGGCACAACATAATGCCTTCGAGTCGGAGATTATAGCTCGGGTCCTCAGACAATGTCACCCAGAGTACCACATGTACCTACACGGCTGCACCTTTGAGACAATTGAAAAGCTAGCCCGGCCTGCCCGTAGCACAGAGGAAATCTTCCTCGCTCAAAAGAGCTATCTTCCACCGCCTTTGGCAGCAAACTCTCTCGAACCCACGTGTGCTTGGCAGGGCCCCGAGGCAATCCCGGCGCCAAGACCTCCATGGGACAGGCACAGAATGCCCAATCAAAGCAGCCGGAGGTGCTCCAGTTTTGATTCAATGCGGGGCCACTGGAGGACGTCCGAAGAGCGCACTGGTGTAGGTGACTCAAGCAGGTATTCGGACCAATGCCACAACTGTGGACAGCGCAGCCACTTCTAGAGAGAGTGCCCAAATACAAACCCGAGGCAGGACGAAACAAATGGCGGAAGAACTGAAAGTGACCGGAGGGATTGTGGAAATCCGGTCAACCCTCGCACACCTATGGGCCATGAAAATCCGGAGGGTCATGTGGCAACCCAATCGGGAAGCTATTGTGGCCGGCGCCGATAGGCCCCACTGCAGAGCTGCTGATGCCACTATCACAGCCGGGATCACGCACGCAGCGTCACTTGTTCCATCGGTATGTCGAATTCAGCCTAACAGCGAAATGATTGAGCCATGCATGACGATCACTTTGCTTGGTTTTCCTATTGCTGCGCTTTTGGATACCAGGGCTGCTATCTCGCTTATATGGGACGCTGCCTATAAACTATGCAAAAATAAAAAAATAACCTTTCGTTCGGCACACACGTCTGCAGTTAGCCTCCGGTTCAACAATATTGGCAGGCAGAGCCGTAAGGCTTAAAATTTCATCTAATGAGAACAAACGGCGTCGGCGCTTTCAGTATCTCGCGGGACTCGCTGTACCCGTGATCTTGGGTCAAGATTTTATTGCAGGCGTAAGCATGACGCTCGACTTCCCTGGGGGCAGCTATTGTCTGGGAAACCGGGCGGATTTGACTCCGTTCACCAGCCGAGAGAACTGCATCACTGGCCCAACCCTCCCAGCCCACTTCACAACGCCTGCAGCTGCCCTACCATCCACAATCTCAGATACCCTGCACAAGTGTCCTGACACTAACCTCCAAAAGAGACAGCTGAACGACGTCCTGGGGCCGTTCTTTCCAATGTTCACGGAGCGACCAGGAAAGACGGACATCCTGCTGCATTGGATTGAAACCAGTAATGCACCGCCTTGGAGGTGCAATCTACGCCCCATCAGCATGAACAAAAGAGAACTCCCAAACGTGGCCCTTCAGGAGATGCTAGACACCGATGCAGTACGTGAGTCAAAGAGCCTTTAGGCATTTCCTGACGTTCTCGCTCCAAAAAAAGGTGGAACTGCCAGACTCTGCGTAGATTACAGACGGCTTAACGAAGTGTCAGTACAGGACAGTTAACCTTTTCCCAGCATCTCCTCTATAATTAGGGTGTGTATTTTCCGGTTTTAACCGAAAAACACCGATAAACATCCGTCGGTGACGAAAATACAAAATCGGTTAAAACCGAAAAACACCGGTGGTTGGATTTTTTCGTTCTGGTTAAAACCGAAAAACACCGGTCGTGGTATGATTCCGACCTAGCGAAACCCTTTCCCCGTAGAGGTTCGTCAAACGTGTTATCTCGTGGATCCTGCATTCTTCCAGTGTTTATACATGGCTTGCACGTGGCGTCAGTCCGCCCTCCTTTCTGTGGGTCAAAAGCGTTTAGTGAACGCAGTAGAAGCTAAGCTCTCATACGCCTTTTCCCCCCTTGTGTCTCCCATGGGCCCCTTTTGTGGAAAAATTAACGCAGTGGAGGGTAGGCTCTCACGTGCCCTTTCCCCATTGTGTCTGGCCAAGTGATGTCGGTGCAAACCATGTATTCAGAGGTTGCTGAGGTTCCTGGAAGACACTGCCAACGTCCGTGTCGTACAGGAGCGTGCCTTTTCATAATTGTGGGTTGTGAACCGCAAGGAACGTGCTGCCATGACGGATGCAAGCCTCTCGAGGTATGCTTGCATCTACTATAATAACCAAGTGTGAGAATTAGATGCTTCCTAGAGAAGAAGTGTATGAAATATGCGAATAAAATTGGAACCCTCTGTGATCAATCGCATTTTTTTCCACCGATAATCACCGATTTTAGCCTCGTAGTGAGACGTTCCACCGAAATACACCGGTGTTTTGAAAATAAATAAACACCGAAAAACATCCGCCGATTTTTCTCACAAATAAACACCGGAAAATACACACCCTATCTATAATGTATGTGCTCGGTAACGCAACGCTGTTCACCATGTTGGATTGCAGCCGCGGATTCTTTCACATCGAGGTGCATCCGTTAGACGTGCAGAAAACCGCTTTCATTTGCCACAGAGGGCTGTACAAGTTCACCCACTTGCCTTTTGGCTTGTCCATCTCGCCAGGGAGCTTTCAGCGTTTGATGGACGTTGTGCTCGGAAATGCAAAGTATGAATTCGCGATGGCATACATGGGTGACATTGTTTTCTCGCGTACATTTGAGGAGCATCTCAAACACTTGACTATCGTGCTTGAGTTGATGCGGAACGCGGGCCTAACAATCAATCCGGGAAGGTTCAATTGGCCGAGCCCAAAATTAACCGTCTCGGATTTGTTGTCGATAGCGGCACGCTCCGTCCCAACAAAGAAAAACTGCGCGCACTAAATGAGTACCCAAGCCCCCATGACATGAAAAGTTTACAGCGATATCTCGAAATGATTGCATTCTATATGGATTTCATTCTTTACTGCTCAGAGATTTCTCAGCTGCTTAACTCCTTCGAAAATGCATCGAATGGTGTTGGAGCAAACAGCCACAAAGCGCATTCATAGCCTTTTCAAAGTCAGTGACAGAAAACGCATGTCTGCACCTTCCCGACCTAAACCAAGCATTCGTTTTGCAGACAGATGCAAGCGATTGCGGCGTCGGAGCTATTCTACTGCAGGAACATGACGGTATACTTCGCCCGGTTGCTTTCGCAAGTAAGACCCTCAATTCCACACAGCGTAACAACAGTGTCGCAGAGAGAGAATGCTTAGCCATAGTGTATGCGTTAAAGCGATTTGACATGTATTTAGATGGCGGCAACATTCCAAATTCAATATGATCATTTAGCGCTGTCATGGCTGATAAGACTTTAGAACCCCGCTGGTCGCCTCGCTCGTTGGGCACTTGCGCTACAACAATACGATTACACTATTGTGTAAAAATTGGGTGCTACAAACCAAATTGCTGATGCACTTTCCCGCGCCCCCCTTCCTGAGGACCACGTGCAGGAAGTTCCAGGTCTGGTTGCAGTCGTTAATACAACATAGGAACCACCTGAGTCACGGTGGGGAACATTGCTCTCAAGAGAGGATCTTCTCAAGGGCTCAGCACAACGATGGGCTGTGCCAACAAGTGACTGCCTGGCTGGCAGCGTCCAGCCCAGTCAACACCAAGGGTGATGAACAGTTTGACTCTTTATTTTTTTTACGATAAGGAAAGAGGGACATTTAAGACAAACAGACAAGTTTGTCTTAAATGTCCCTCTTTCTTTATCGTAAATTAATAATCAACACGCTCAACCACCTACAGTTCGACTCTTACTTACTGAGCAGTGACAGATTCCTGTTGAGCTACATCCTTCAGGCTGATTATGATCTGAGCAGTTGTGCATTTCTAACAGTGATACCTCGGAAGTTACGTAGGTCCTTTATCAGATGCATGTACAGCTCCGCCCTAGCCATCACAGCAGTGGGAGCAAAACTTGCGATAAGTTGTCCCAGATTGCGACGTGGCCCGGCATTCTAACAGTGATACCTCGGAAGTTACGTAGGTCCTTTATCAGATGCATGTACAGCTCCGCCTTAGCCACCACAGCAGTGGGAGCAAAACTTGCGATAAGTTGTCCCAGATTGCGACGTGGCCCGGCATGCAGCAAGATGTACTGAGGTACGCGCGTAGTTGTTCATCATGCCAGAAAGCGAAGCCACGTGGTGGTCAACCCCCAGGTCTCATGCAACCGACCGCAAGCCAGAGCCCTTGGCAGATCTGTTGCTGTGACGTCATGGGTCCATTTCCATGTAGCCCACGCGGAAACCATTGCTTGTTCGTAGTAACGGACCATTTCACCAAATGGGTGGAGCTCTTCCCTTTACGAAAGTTGGACTCTCAGAAAATATGGGACTGCCTACTTCGGCAAGCCTAATTTTGGATAATGCGTCATATTTTACGAGCAAAGCGTTCGTCAATGCATTTGCAGTTCTGGGAATTGAACTTAAACAGACTTCGCCGTATCATCCACAGGTAAATATAACTAAAAGAGTAAATCGAAACCTTAAGATGATGCTCGTTGCTCATACGGAGCGTCACAGAGACTGGGATGCGAAGCTCTCAGAAATAGCCTTCGCCACCCGCACCACGGCTAACTGGTCAACCTGGCTCACCCCTGCCCAGATGAATTTCGGCAGAGAGCTTGCTTTTCCTCTCACTAACACTCCATTTGACAGAGCCCAGGGCACAGGACCGCAACTACACAAAGTTTGCAGACGACCTGCGAAAGCGTTTCACTATCAACCTCAAGGAAGCCCGGGAGAACCCCGACGTTGCCAGACTGCAGCTATCCGACCAGTACAACCAGGGATGCCGAGACCTGCAGTTCGAGGTGGGAGACTTGGTGCTCAGGTGCACTTGCCCCCCGAATGAAGCGGCAAAAGGCTTCACGGACTCAATGGCCAACAGGTGGGATAGTCCATTTCGTTTAGGCAAAATGCTTTCCCCGCTTACATACGCTAATTCACCATTTCAGTGGTGAGTCCACAGGACCAACTCATGTCACCGACCTTAAGAGGGGGCGCACCTCAGAGCCCCATAGAGAATACATGAGGTTTTTCACCAAATTAAAAAAATTCTCACATAATAACGGCTGCGCGGATCTTCTTGAAAATTTCGGCTTTAAAGACATTGAGTCATTATCGAGACACTAAGCGCAACAAATGTTTCATCATAAATTTAATTATATTCTTTAAAAAATCATGAAAATGGTCCAAATCGGCTAATTCGGCACTCTTGCGTTCGGAGCGAATTTACAAAATTATCTAAATTCAAACATAAGAAGTATTGCGCTTAGTGTCTTCTAAATTTATTACGAAATCGAATAATATTCAAATTATTCATGTAAGTCGATTTGTTCCGTAACTACAGCAAATATAAAGAACCAAGGTGTCGGTGCTTGTTTTCGTCGCTTTTAAGGTACCTCTCTCTCCCGTGCGGTGGCGCTCGCTGTCCGCGAAATGCGTAATCGTCCGTTCGGAGATCGGCCGGATCGGCACTGTGCGAGGTGTTCTTCCGCGGCCGTATTCCGCGCCCGTATCCTGTTTCATTCTGCACGCCGAGGCGTCAGTGTGCGTGTCTTGCTTTCCTGGTTCTCGCTGGGTAGGTCTCCGTGTTTTCGCAAGTGGCAAATTCACCTTGGAGCTATGGGTCGAAGACAACCGTCTTGTGGCAAGCGGACCGCGAGGTGTTCCACAACCTCGCGGTCCGTCAACGCGTTGTGCTTGTTTCAACTTTTTTTTTTCTTTTAAAAACGGGCTTTTTTTTTTTGACGCAAAGTTTTATTTTATTGTTATCCTTCACACAAACGTCCTTCGGCCTTGGGGTCGTGGAAATCGGGGATGAAGCGTGCACAGAGTAGATCGTTGTTTGCCTCCTTTTTTATTTTTCACAGACGTCCTGTGACCTCCGTACGGTTCGTGGTCACCGGAATCTAACGCGGGGAAAAACGGGTCGCCTGCTCTGTAGTCAGGGTATTTCTAGGGGAGGGTGATAACTCGCTGTTCTTCTGGAAATTCACATATCACCCAAAAAGGTGACATGGGTAATGATTACGGCATGTTTTTTCCGGTGTTTATTTTTGAGCGAAAATCGGTGTATGTTTTTCGGTGCTTATTTTTTAATCATTAGTGTATTATGGGTTGAACGTCTTGTGATGACGCTAAAAAGCGTTGATAACCAAAGAAAAATGCGATTGGACAAGAACATTTCAAATTTCCCATTCTATTCACATATCCATTACGCTCTTCTCGTGGGAGCATCTATCCTGACGAAAAATGCCTAAGTCATTGAGCTGTGAACGCATACTCAGTGTACAATCTTTCGGCCTAGAGAGGTATTGCGCACGCACGAACGCGCTTCACAGCCCAGTAGACGAAGTTTGTGCCACCCAGAAGGCGAGTTTTTGAATGGTCTGCAGTAGGCAAAAGAAACAAATAACAATCAACGCATATCAGCTCTTCAAGCGAAGAGGCGCGTTTCTAAGGTCAATGGTTCCGGACGGCACTAATGTTGTTGGCGTTGTCGTAAGATGACGTCAGTTCATACGAACTGACGTCATCTTACGTGATCACGTGACACAAACACGTCATCTTACATGATCTCGTTACACGAAATGACGTCATCTTACATGATCACGCTGCACGAAATGACGCCACCTTACGTGACCACGTAACACGTCATCTTGTAAGTCAACCTCTCCCCACAGCAGCGCGCTCCGCGCTTTCCGGGCCCGTGCAGTGCTGTAGTCGAAAGCAAGCTCCCTATGGCAAGCGAAAGCTTCTGAAGTCTCACATTGAGAATACTCGCAAGCGACCGTCTGTGGAAGCTTCGCACGTTGAGGTTTTTGTTGAGATCGAGCCATCGTGTTCCATTAACTATAGTTGAAGTTATCGTTCAATAAAGCCCTAAAAAATATGAATGTAGTTGGTGTAGACATCAAGATCTAATCAAAAATGCGGTTTGACGTCGTTTAATTAACGTGTATATACAAGTGTAGAAAAAAAAGAGTTATTTGTGCATAGATGTTTAAAAAAGTGTTTTTTATTCGACATAGGACTTTGGGAGAAGGATGTGTTCAGATTTTTCTTCATGAGCGCAAATATACCTGACGCAATAAATAGTGACGATTTCATCGTCCCAGTGGTGAGCAGGTGATTTCTTGCTCGAAACAATGATGCCATTTCATAAACCAAGTTCCGTGACATATGCTTTTCCAATCTCTGGTCACTATTTTGTAAACCTTTCAGTCCAAACGAGTATACTTCTGTTTGTTTTTGTTAGCTTAGGAAGGGGTCACAGAGCCTATCTTTTTGTCTTCCTCTAGGACAGACGTACAGAGTTATACCGCAACACGCATTTGTGGAGCACACAGAGCTATCGCTCTCCTGTTGGCGCCACAGTAGCAGACGACACAACGCAGCTCCGTAGTCGATCGAGGGCACGGCTAGCCGCGGCCCGTAGCGCGACCGTTCAGACAAGGGAAATGGTTTTGAAGAACCGAGAAATGGTATCTTGTGTACAATAATCACATGTCGTTAGTATACTAGTATTCTACTTGCTAAGCCAAATAAATATTTGCAGCTTGTGAGAATATGTTTGCGTGACGATTTACCGTTCACACTCCTGACGGATGTTAGCGAATCCTTCATGTTCGTGGCTCGCAGTTATCGGTACCCCCTCGGAGTGACTTCACCATATATATTTTTTCTTGCTTGCAGGACATCATAAAAATCACAAACACGCGAGAAAAAAAAATCATATGAGTACGCATGATTTTGTGCTTCGCAGCTCTAAAGATGCCCGGTAAATGTCGTCCAGCTTGGGAAGAAACTAATCCTTTTTGTTGGAGTTTGACTATCGTATGCTGGCAGCTCGTTTCCGGTCTGTTTTGTCTATATTCCGTTTCACCGTAATTTGGCAACCCTCAGTCAGAGCTGCTGTGAGGGAATCACAGTCGCGGAGCAAAGCACGTGACAGCTACTTTTAGGAGCAGTACTATGGCACCTGCAGCGCGTCTCCGACTGGTGTGTTTAGCGTCTTATGCTGGCCATACATCAAAAGTGGTCCCGAAGTGCAACAAATGACGTCACAGAAGACGGAGTGTCATGCTGTTGCATCTCGCGATCCTGGCAATTCATCGTAGAAATGCTGGCGAAAACCACGAGGGAACACGAGTGTCGCTGTCGTCATGGCGTCCCAACGAAAAGCAAATATACAATTTCGACGTTTTTGTAATTCGGTAATTTAAATTACTGTATACAATTTTTAAGAAAATAAAGACATCATAACCAAATAGGAACTTTCGTGCTAAAACATGCAGTGCGAAGTGAAGACAACTACTATCTTTTTTGTTTTCTTGATGTCCACAAAAAAAAGGCTATGCAGCATCGATCCTACCGTTTTTTTTTTTTTTTTGCACATTATGTGATGTCCTCTAACACGAAAGTACCGACGTAAAAGCGCTGTAGAGACGATATAAAAACAAAAATTTAAGTGAATCGAGCTTTGTAGTGGAACGGAAAAAAATAAATAATTAACGACTTTTTACGGTAAACACTTCACCTCTAAGTAGAACTTCAAAAAAGTGACGGTTACGCGCTTTCATGCCCATTTCAACAAAGTTGGGAGAACGATGTATTGCATCTTGTGAATAGACATGTGGAGCAGCATGTTTATGTTAGAGGCATTGTGTGTAATCGCTGCGCAGTACCTGCCAAAAGAAGATATTATTTGGGCACAGTCTCAACCGTTTCCGTCAGTGTGTGCTACGAATACAGCAACTCTTTTCGTAGAAGAAGTGATGAGGAAATGGCGTGCCCTTGATGATACGATTGTGATTATGAAATAAAATTTTTAATCAGCCAATAATTGCGACCTGTCCGGTCGCCTGGAACCCCGACAACAACTATCGTTCTCTGGAAAGTTCATTCTAATATTTACACGTTTTGTGGAGTTCATCGAGCGAATTAGAATGTTCCAACAATGAGCTAAACCTACACGAGTTCCCGAATCCAACACGGCGCTTTTGAATTTTAGCGCCGCAGATAGTTCTGCGAACAGTGTATACTTCTGTGCAAATATTCGTCTAACAGTTTCGCAACGTTGGAAAGCATCGGAATGATTCAGAATCACTGCGGAGTTGATACTCGGGAAGATAAGACGGGCACTTGGGAGAAACGGACCGTGGCATTTGAGACAGGGGCACAACCGGGGGACAAACGTGCTACAATCGCATACCCTTCCAAGGTCATCGCTTGGGCGACCGCGCGCGCGCCCAAGAAACCTTTCTTTTCTTCTTTTTAGGGGTGGTGCGGGGGGGGGGGGGGGGGGGGGGGGGGGGGAGTGGTGTAGGCGCTGATTGTCTTCCTCCTTTGTGGCTTTTGACAGACGCACAACGAGACTGGCAGAACAAGCGCATGATTCATTTCTTTCGATGGAGGCGTTCTGTCTGTGTATGCGAACATGATTTTTTTCCCCTTTTAGTAGTTAGTTGTTCTTGCCTTGACTCGGGTCCCAGTGGGTGCGTTGTCGTTGTATGCCCACTATTTTTTATTTTTTTTTAGTTTATGGTAGTTTTTGCACTGATAGGGTATCAAGGTATAAAAAAGAAATGAAATAGCGCCTCGACAAAAAAAAAAAAAGTTGTTGCGATCAGGAACGTTTTCAAAGCGATTTTAGGAGCCTGCAGTGTTACCACAGGTGCAGGATTGAGAGCGTAACCCACGCACTTGAAGAGAAGGGGAAGCTCTCGTCTTATTGGAACTCTCTTTTATGGGTTTCCACGTCGCGATTGTCCTTCAAAATCAACTGTCATTTATTTCTCGCTCGTGGCTTCCAAGTACTGGAAGCCACGACTCGAGCCACAATAGTTTTGCGAAATCAAGGTTTTGCTGAAATGGATAACTCTCACGTACAGTTCGACGCGCAATACCTTTGACGTATTGACTCGCGAGAGATGCCCCCAACACAGCTGAGTATGGCGGTGCTCCAGACCTATACTTCGTTTCAGCTTCGGTCCGAGCGCGGCCGATGTAGTGCGCCGAAGGGCCAATCGAAGAGTGCAAAAAGCGCAGCGTCATGGCGTGCTCTCTGCGCTTGATAGGACTAGCCGGCGGAGGAGCGCGCGCAGAGAGACGGCGAATACCTGCTGGTCCTATCAGCTGCAGAGAGCACGCCATGATGTCGTGCCTCTTTCGCTGTTTGATTGGCCCTTCGGCTCATAACATCGGCCGCGCTCGGACCGAAGCTGAAACGAAGTATAACATCTAAATTTTGTTGCCTTACCTGTTACTATTTCGCGCCCATTTTGAGCCATATCAAAATGAAAGCGCATGATGAAATAAAAATGACACTCGTTTTCCGCTCGATGGAAATTTCACGCCAGCTCGCTGTCTTTGCTGGTACCTTGAGCGTTTCCCAGCGATGCGGAGAGTTAAAAAAAAAAAAACACGTACGATGGCATCCTTTGCAACACTCATTACTTCTATAACACTGAGCCATCTCGTATCCTTCTGTTTTTCTTTCATGGTACTCATTTATTTCTGCGCATTACGGCTGTTACGACGCTAAGTCTGTCTGCACCTTCGCATTTGAACTTAGGCTCAGATCAGGGACGAACCAGTTTAAATCAGGAAAATATAATTAACACTGTAGCAAAGTAAATCTATCATATCGATCGGAAATACGCTTTGGCACATTCCATCTGAACACATATTGTGCACAGCGAATGCAATAGCGAGTCAACGTGCAAAACGCCGCCACACTGAGCTACCATAACATCTCAGCGATTTTTGCATAGCACCGAGCACGGAAAAGAGAAAACAGTTATTCATTCACATAAACGAAGCAAATTTATTTAAAGCCCGGACACTCCGTACGTCCAATCTAGCTAAGGTTATCAATAGACTCGACCATGTCATTTGTCGAAACAGATAAAAGACGTTGGCAAAAATGATTAAACTGAATAAGTGAATCTAACGCACGTATTTTACCAACCGACGGTCGCGCGCCTTCAATACCCTTTCCAATTGTCATTGTGCACCTTGGACACACTTTGGGGAGCAATGCATAATTACATCGCCGCCCGAGGTCTCCATTGAACGTGTAGTGCTGACCCAAATAAAATGCTAACCTGACTCTCAATCGCTCACCGCAAAGGACGATTTCGAACAGGCGGTACTGTAGGTCACTTGAGATAAAAAAAAAAAAAAAAAAAAAAAGAAGAAAAACAAGCTATAGAAACGAGCGTCATAAAAAAGGGGACTGGCATTTTTATTCCTACCTCCGAACAGAAACGAGCGCCACCCACTGCATCACACAGCGCAGAGGCCGGACTCGGCCACCGCGCGTACATACCAAGCGCGCGCGAGGGAGGGAGAAACTTCCTTCGCCGGGAGAACATGGCACATTTCGGGATCTATTTCACGCAGCGGATAACGCGGGCCTCTTCACACCTCGATACTGGCGCCATCTAGAAGTTGCGCGCTCAACCACGTTTCCAGCAGCGCGCCATCTGGTGGCTGAAACGGACGAATAAATAGAGGTACCGCGCCCTCTTAAACAATTCCACATCCCGGAAGATGGTCTTTGCAGGATTGGACCAGTGCCGACGACGGCCCGATCCCGGACCCCTCTTCGCCGCTACACAGGCGGTGCAATCTGAGACGTCAATGCCGGCTGAGAGAGAAGTTATACACCAACTCATCTCTGTTACGTCACGACGCGGTGGTGGCGCGTCGGTCGCACTTCCGGTCTGGGGCTGTGGGCAGAAGTCCCCATGCGAGACGTGTATCTCTGCGTTGTTTTGAAAGGAACCTGACAAAAACCTGCCTTCTCGTCAAACGCCGCGACTGGGGCTGTACTAAAAGAGTCGAGAAAAGTTTGAAGGCCAGCTTTCATGTGCTCGGTTCGTCCGAGAATGTGGGTATGTGCCGTGAAAAGGGAAAACCAGACGCCGTCGGACCACGATTGCTTGGGCGGGCAGCACTTCGGATTGAATTCACGGACACTTCTGGTCATCAGATTTTGTTTATTTTGTTCTAACATGAACGGTGAAAAACCGCGAAGTTGTACGGACCACCTGCGGACTACGTTCAATGCGTCTTCAAGTTCAAACGGCCGCCTGATCGTTCGAACTGTCGTCTGCTCTTTCAAACGTTTCTGCTTGTCGTCTGCTCTTTTAGACGATACCAGCCCGTAGACCAAACGCGGGCCCGGTACTTGCGATAAGAAGTAAGTGCAGGCCTCAAAATACTCAAGTTTGAAGGTTGGTAAGCAGGCTCGATGTAAACAGTAGATAAAAGGATGTATTGATAATTGTTACAGTGGCCATCACCGACTTGTTATGCCTGATTCACTTAATCCGATTCTGCTTGAGATTTTCAGCATCGACGTCGGCTACCTCAGCTACGGTTCACACTTTTGCAGCCCGATCGACGTCCCGACTGAAAATTGCAAGCGAAATCTCATCATGCGAATCAGGCTTTAGCGTACATTCTTCGGTGTCCACGCGGAATGAATCGCCGCATGTCACATTATTCACCCGAAGTTTTGCGGTGTAATGAGCCTTGGCAATTTCGCTGAGGCCGCTCAAGTAGTCAAACATCGCCAGGAAGACGTAGAATCTACAATTCGAACGCGAAAAAGGGCAAAGGGACTCACACCGACGCCGACAACATCGCATTTCAATAGTTTGTTTATGGGCGACGCCGAGCTTCTTGCCCACACCCCCATCGCGTATGCGCGGCGCCGGTGGCGTCCGCTAGGGGCGCTCCGGTTTGTTTGTAAACATGAGTTGGTGTATAGAGTGGTGGACAAGATTCCTCTTTTCCTTTTTCTTTTTTTTCCTTCGAGTTTTGAACGTTGTACCTTGTATATCATCCCACGGATCTGATCGCCTTTCTGAGAGGGGGAAATATTGCGCGATTGTGTACCCACCTCAGATCCTTTATCTTTTTCTATGCATTATAGAGCCAGGGGTTACACATAAGAGTAACCAATGGCAATTGCTTGTTCTGATCCATGAAGATAGATCACGGGCAATGCCACCTCCAATCCTGGGCATCTGGACGCCAGGGTCCCAGGACACGTGGCGGTCCCAGTCACCGAGGGCGGCAACCGACAAGGCCCATCCCACGGAACCACGGCCAGTGGGCAGGACGGCCCAGAGACACCGGAAACAGCCGCTACCGGTGATTTCATTTCATTTCATTTCATTTATTAATCCCTTAAATGCCCACGTGGGGCTTTACATAAGGGGGGTGCATGCAGTCTTTGTACACTTAAGGTACACAGTACAAACAAAAGGAGAAAAAAAAACGAACAAAAGATAATTAGGGCTGCGCGTCGATTAAAAATTTTAACCCCACTAATCGCCACCCTTTAATCGATTAATTAATCAATCGGTTGCGTTGATTTTTATAAATAATGTATTAAAAAGAATGCAACAACTTGTCTTGCCTTTAAAGACTTATTTTACTCTCTGTTACACGGCGCAAAGGACATTTGATACATGTAGTTCAACGATTCAAAGACTCAGATATTTTTGCTCCAGCTCCGAAGACAAAGAAGTTTTCCACATTCTCCGACAGGAAGACAAGAAGTAAGGGCTTGGGCGATGCTTTCTCCTTTTTTCAGAGAGAGGGGCCTCGATGAGAAGTCCTTGATTGTTGCCTGCGTTTTGGCGGATGGTCCTTGCTGCAGCTACATGGGTGCTTCGCTCATAGGCGATACTGAAGCGAACTTACGTTTCCCCTGTATGAAACGGCTTTTTGCAGATGATGCTGTGGACTTCCTTCGAGTTAAAAACTTCACCGCTGGAGTTTACTTTAAACCCAAACTTTCCAGCGAGATTGCTTGTCATACTCGTGAGCTCGTCCATTTTTACGGGCAGAATACTGGAACAAGTTGTTTTTCTGCTTGTTTGTCTTGCCTGGGCAGGATGTGTAATGGATCCCCAACACAGGAAGTTTCGCGGTCGCGCAGGAATCAATTGCGGGACTGGCTTGGTCTGGACTCGGCAGAACTGTAATGTATATCCTCGAACACGCGACACTTCGCGAGCCCGAGAATTGAACCTTGCTCATTGCACCTGGCTGGTAACGGAAAACCGCTCGGGACAGAACCACCGGATACACGCCACGCCACCCAGCATTTTCCTCAAGGGGGGGGGGGGGGGGGGGAAAGGGGCATGTGAGTCACCCCTAGTTCGGGCAGGTCGTCTAGAATGGAGCCATGCATGCGTCCAGTTGACTTCTTTTTGAGTACCGATTAAAAAAACGATTAACCGGTTAAAAAATTTGATCGCAATTAAAGCCTTAATCGATTAATCGGAAGGTTAATCGATCAATAGCCCAGCCCTAAAGATAATACACAAGTGGGCTACAGGCCTTAAAAGGTGGCAAGTGCTTCTCTAAATTTTGAGATATCCGATATTGTTACTATTGAGTCTGGTAATTTATTCCAATTATTAATAGAAAGCTGCAGAGGCAAAAGTTTAAATATATTTGTCCTAAGAATGGATAAAAGAAGCTTGCAGGAGTTATCTAAGCGACGGGAGGTGTGAGGTTCAGGTATGCAGTATAAAGATCTCTGCAAAGGAAGATGATAGTAAAATTTATGTAGAGTGGTTAAGGCGGATATCGTCCTACGTGTTTTAGGAGAGGGGAGGCCAAGTTGAGTTTTAAGATTACTGACACTAGCCGCGAGATTATAATTTCTATGAATAAACCGTACCGCTCCGTTTTGGAAGGCCTCTAACATCTCTTCTAAGAATAACTGATGGGGATTCCAAACCGATGAGGCGTACTCCAGCTGGGGACGAACAAGTGAGGTTTATGCTAAAAGTTTAGTTTCCTTAGAGGCAAGAAAAAGGTTGCGTCACAAAAAGCCGAGTGTCTGGTTAGCTTTGCTGACAATGGTGGTTATATGGCATTCCCATGAAAGACGGCATGTTAAGTAAACCCCGAGGTACTTGTAAGTTGATACATTTTCGATAATATTACCGGAAAGGTAGTATTGAAAGTCTATTCTGTTACGTTTCGTAGTGAAAGTCATTTGTTTAGTTTTATTTACATTTATTTGCATCTGCCACCTTTCACCCCAAGATTCGATAGTGTGTAAATTAGTTTGGAGTTGCGCACACTCAGAGGGATTGGAAATTTTAGAATACAGAACACAGTCATCAGCATATAATCTAATTGAAGACTTAATTAGGGAAGGCAGATCATTAACGTAGATCAGAAATAATAATAATGGACCCAGCACGGTTCCCTGAGGTACTCCAGATTGAACTGCTATAGAAGACGAGCAACTGTTGTTAAGGGCGACGTACTGTGTTCGCTTTGAAAGAAAATTAGCTATTCAGTTCATTAGTCTTCAATTTTAAGCGAACATAATTTTAATAATAAATGGTGATGAGGAACCTTGTCAAACGCTTTTGAAAAGTCAATAAAAATAGCATGCGTTTCAGTATGGTGATGAAGGTTTTTATGTCTGTTATAAATTCAAAAAGCTGGGTGTCACAGGACAGAGACCGTCGGAAACCGTGCTGGTTTACAAAAAGTAGACCATATCAACCATGTAGTTCATAATTTTTGAATAAACAATATGCTCCATCAACTTACTTGCACCACAGGTGAGAGAAATGGGCCTATTATTCGTGGGGCAATCTTTGTCCCCGGTCTTAAATATTGGACTTACTCGAGCATATTTCCAGTCAGGGGGTACGTCACCGGAGTCAATGGACTGTTCGAATAGCTTGCATAGAAGAATACTGGAAACAGGCTTAGTTAATTTAAGCAATTTAGTCGATATGTCGTCTAAGCCTGGGGCAAAATTATTCTGAAGGCGATGCCGGGAACAGCCACAAAGGACGAGCGCGAACGGGAGTGCGCCATATCACTGACACAGCGCCGCCGTCCACACCTTCGACGATGACCACGAAGATAGCCATTGACATGACGGACACTTAAGGGGGGGGGGGGGGGGGGGGGAGTGTGGGGGCAAGGGTCTGCCACCACGCCCAGGGGGCACTACCGACCGCACAAGAAAGGACGCAGTCCAAAGCACGCAACAGCGCATGAGGAACAGGCGCGAGAGCCTATAAAAGGAGGACACGCCCACAGAATGGGGAGCGCGGACCGAGGGCACGGAGACGTGCCGGTTGAACGCTATGGCAATGTTATACTTTAAATACTAACAACCTACTATTCCTGTTACTCTAATAAATGTTTCTTGTTATGGAAACCACCCTGGCTTCGTGATGTTCCTCCCAGATGGGCATGCAGCAATGCAACCCTACCACAAGGTATACTAAAAGGGGAGATGACAGATCAAAATATATATACAATGTATATACAAAAGGTGGAGGTAACATGTGACAGATGTGATGTCATGCAGTCAGAGAGGGAGGAGGAAAAGTTGTCAAGTAAGGTGTAAGAGGTCTAGGTCAATAAGGGGAGGAATGCGGGCAGCGGGAGCTTGGGGCACCCCACTAACAACCCAAATTATCAACAAAAAAAAAAGGAGGGAGAGAAAGGAGCGGGCGAAAGTAAACGTCTAATAGCTGAAAGAAAGTTTCTTGTTTAGATTGGAAGGGAATTCCGTCCTAAGATTAAAAATTGTTTTTGTTTTCTTTTTTTTTAAATTTTGCGTGAGGTGGGCATGTGGAAACCTGATTTGACGAGGCATACTTCCCTGTTCAGTTCAGTTTATGGCAATCTAAGTTTTCAGGAGGCCTTTAGTATATTCATGTTCAAGCTCCTAATGATTTCAAAGGGATCTGGCCTTGCCAAATTGTGTTGCCTGGTTCCTTCTAGTGTTATTTCTGCCGCTCGTTTACCAGACCATTTCAGCACCTCAGCGCGTTGTTACCAGCTCGAGCTGCAGACGGCACACAACTCTCCCACAACTTTTCTGTCTAAAAATTACAGCACACAAAACAGACGCACTTCACCCTTCAATAGACATTTGCTTTGCGCTACTGTCAACTTAGTTTTGTATTTCGTCATTCCCCTTCTTTTACGCCTATTGTAAAGAAACTAACTCACATCTGTCAGTTGTTTTTTCTTGGCACTTTTGGCCAGCTAATCCACCATTATTAGATCAACACAGTTGGGGAACTTCCGATAGACGCTGTACATCAGAGCTATGTACAGTGCTCGGCAAACTTATCCGGAACACATGCTAAGCCTACTCTTGGCTTGTTTTATTTTATTTCTTTCTGTGTGTGCGTGCATAGCTGGCGCTAGCCCTAAGCTTTTTCTCTTTGTGTCCCACTATGTCCGTAGCATACATTCAGCTCACATAAATATGCCATTTCTCTATTTTATCTTTTTTCTGCATTCAATATTCCACAAGTGTTCCGTACAAGTTTGACGAGCACTGTACATCAATTGTTTGCAGTGAGGAGGCACTGTCAGCACATTAATACTCAGCACGTCTGCTAGCTGTATGCAATACTTCCTAGAAAAAACTTTAATATCAGCAAAAAGGTGTTTTAAAATGCACCGAACCACATATTTTCAGAATATGTTGTCACAAACAGCAATCTGAGTTGTTTTGAAAACATTGTAAGTAACCTTCAAAGCCACGGAAAAGGCTGGCCGTGATGCAGAGCTTGCGCCCTTGGGACAGGCACACAAAAAGGACCCCCCTCCACAGCGAAGTTCCACAACTGAGTTGATCTAATATTGTTGAGGTACTTTAACCCTTTATGGTAAAGCTAAAGATGGGGTGCTAACTCATTTGTTATCTAGTGCGACAATGTTCGCGGTTTTTAAGATTTCTCTAGTCAACTTGTTACTGCTCCTGCCTAGTACAGTGAAACTGTTCAGAAGAGCCAAACACCCGCAATCCCGGCAGCGAGTTCCTAAATGCCCAGAGTTGGCTGTGACAATGTTATTGTGTTCACAAAGTCGGTCGTTGAGACAATGTCCTGTTTGGCCAATGTAGTACTGTTCACAGGAAAGCGGGAAGGTGTAAATCACTCCCTGTGCAAGAAACGAAGTTGGTTTGGTGTTTGTGCAGCTTACTGGTCGAAAGGAAGGTGTACTCACTTTTTTTGCATAAGGTGGAGAGCTTATTTGGAGCTGAAAAGACGAAGTATACATTTACTCGATTTACTCTTTTCTTTAGCTTGAGGAAGAAAGTGTGAAGATAATTGGAAGACGCCAAGATGATTCTTGCTGTCTCTCCTTTAAGTGCTCAGTGGTCGCTACACAGTTTGGAGTCCTGCCCTGGGGGCCTGGATGGTATCCCAAGACCTGATGTCTGTTCCTGCATGGACACTACCAGAGCAACATTACCCAGCAATCGATCCCCTGCCACAAGTTTTGCTACGTCTTTCAAAGACATGGACTTAGTCTGTGCCAACAGTTTTGGTGGAAAGAAGACTTTCAGTGCCCAAGGAGCACGGGGACTCCAGCACTGCTGTGACAAGGTGCTACATGGTTTTAGCAGCTTTGCCTCTTCTGTGGCTCCACCGTTTTTCTTCAGTTGCTCAAGAAACCTTAGCCTCTTGGACCACCTTTCAAACTGGGTAGTGTTGGCCACATTGCAACATATCTATGGCTCAGCATTATCTTCACCTGGTGGGGTTAACGTGGAATGTCGGGCTTGCCAGTTCTTTTTATTTTGGTTGACCCTGATTGGTTATGTAGCTCTTAAAAAGAGTGTTTTGTGTTGGAATAAACAGATCCTCGTCCCGACAGCAGAGACTTTGTCCGTTCCTCCATCGTCGAACCGTCGAAAATGTGACAGCAGTCAAGCTATTTGTAACTGCTGACAAATGTTGAAGCACAATCGACGAAAAGCTTCATGTTCTCCGCTAAGCCGCTCGGAATGTCGGTGCTGGCCACTGAGCCGTAGCATCGCCCTGGTCTTGATGAGACTAAATAAGTATCACGAAAAGCTCTTGCACACGTGCATATACACACACACACATGCAGAAAGTACAGCTTGAAATTCATTCGTCCTTAGACTTGACTGATGTACCGGTGAAATCTACGCAATGGTGGTTCCGTGCACGTCACCTCATGAAGTCGAGGGAAGGATTGATATATTTCTAATAAATATATATATATATTATTTATTGATCACACATGAGATATAGCGAACTTGGAAATGTATTTTGGCAATATACTTCATTAAAAAATTAATACATTTTCGAATTAAGTATACTGTAAAACAATTTTGAAAGGGCGTTGGTATGGTGTAAGAACTTGAGAAAGAATTAAACGTAGGACAGAACACAGTGAGCATATTTTTCAATTTTCAACACACATTATTTTAATTTCTGCAGGCAGTGGACCCCCAAGTTCGTCCTCCAAAAACGTTAAAACAGTCTGCGACAGAGCAAAACATTATCGCCAGAGCTTCCTGACGCCGCGTCTAAAACTCAAGAAGTTCAATTTTCAAACCGCAAAGATTGCCAGTAGAGTTTTTTTCGAAGTCCGTGGCAACGCCTGTCTGCTATTGCTTGCTTAGATATTCTGAGCATGTATTGGATACGAGAGCTGTCTCAGCGTTCGACGTGAACTCTGATCGGCTCGTATTGAAAACGAGCGCTGCGCAGCGTTCAGTGAGGACTCGGATCCAATCACGTGCATCGTGTACAAGCAATGGCAACCACCAATGTTGCATGGTGGACTTATGAAAAAGGCCTATTGCTACTGGCATTGTATCTCGCAAGAGTAGTTACAAACTTGCCATCTTTGTGAGCCACTGAGGAACAAAGTCATTGCGTCCAAAAGACTGGAAACTTGTTGCAATGGACCAATCTCCAGCTGTCCTGCGTATGCTTGGCATTACCATAAATGCAGGCGACCGTGCACGACATGGCTTGTGCCATTTCATTCTCTGCTCATGCAAGCCCGCACCAGGGTTATTGCGTGTGAAAAAGGACTACAGTTTCCAGAATGAAAATAGATGTGGCCTGGCAAAACTGGCTGATGAGACTGGTCCAGAGAGCCTGGTGAAGCTGACCATTGGACACTATTAGCCCCGAGAATGAACACGAGCAACGCCGTTGTTTAACTGATTGGCCAACTCCGACGAGAGATCACATGAACAAAAATGTAAAAATGATTGTAGACACAAAGCAAAAAGTTACTCTGCAATTATCAATGGCCAATCCCAAACTGTGCACAACCTGAGTAAGCATGAAATTCAGACTGTCACGTCAGGTCGGAGAAACTGTTGGAAGCAGTGTAATTTCTCGGCGCTAATAACTAGGGATTGAATTTTTCTGTGTTTATTTTTAAATAACTAGGGGCATTAATCGGCATCTATGTTTTTCATTGAAGTCATTTTTTATCCGCATTCATTTTATACGCCGCTGGGACCTCTGCCACTTTTCATTGGGTCTTTTTTTTACATTTTCTTCAATTTTGTGTTGCAGCATTAGTCTTCGGATTATAGAACCTGTTCTTTGCAAACGCCAGCAGGCGATGCTCCAGGATTCGACGGCCCAGCAAACTTCACGTTCATAAAAAATAATAAACAAGGCCTCCCTTAACACCACTGATTGAGACGTCAATGAAACATTTAACCACCAATTCCCCAGGCGAACGCAAAAAAAACCAAGAAGTGCGAGATATGTTAATTTATTGAATATTCTTGTAAACCAACTTGTCTCCTCCAAGATGTTAGATCGTACAGCAGAAGGCCCTGGCTAAATCTCCAACTTTGTTGTGCGTGTAGCATTTATGCTTTCTAAGGCTGGTGACATAAGCAAGCATGAAAGGCTTGCAAAGACGGAGCAACCGAAAGTCGCTTGGGACGCAAACAGCGCTTCATGTTTGTAAACAGCAAAAGGGTCTATACAAATTATGGGAGGATCAAAGGCAGTAGTATATATTGTACCCCTCTAAAGCGGACGTCACTTCCCACCCACAGCTTGCACAACACTGGTTGCGTTTGATTTACCTACACCTGCACCGGTGCAGAAAAGTGCAGGGCAGTGTACTTCCCGTCGTATCTGAATACACATACCAGAAGTACACTGCCCTATACTTTTCTGCACCGGTGCAGGAGGTGTAGGTAAATCGAATGCAGCTACTACCCCGAACTTGTGAGATAAACTGCTTATTTCCAGGAGTGCTATAAGCCCTACGGTTTGTCTCGGTTTAAGATGATTAACGAAAACAGGAGGTAACCCTGGTAACAAGGTAGACAACACTCGTTTGTAGGCAAATGGTGTTACAAAGTGTGGCAAAGTGCACATGAAGCCGTCCTAGGCCAGGATGATACCTGCAAAGTCATCCCGACAATGAAAATGTTATTTTTTTTAGACACGCCACCGCATAGGCCGGCTCTGGAGCGGCTTTTTCATTTCCCAGCATTTTCAGGGGCAGCCGGCATTGTGCCAGAGTTGTTTCACAACACCGATCAGTTGGGGCCGGACTGCACTGGCGTCACATTTTGCCACAAAAAACCGCAGTCAGGCCGGAGCTCATTCGACCCTCTGTGCCAGCCCTAGGCACGATTCGGCACCACTTGAAGATAGTGTTCAGTGCAGTTCGTAGTTAAAGAAATTAACTCTACTCCAGAAAGCACTTTGTGAAATTGCAAGAGTGTCAGAAACCAACACACATACAGGGAAGACAAAAAAACAATGAAATAGCTTTTGGTAATCCAGTGCCATAACCAGCATTTATCTACTGAAGGTGAAGCTTAAGGGGACACTGACTGGATATTTATGCTGGCCAAGGTTCTTATTTGTACATGCTATATGAGAGCCCAACTACCCAGAACCCGATTTGTGGCTCAAAATTAGTTTTCTTTGTGCCCGAAAACCTCCGGTCAAGAACTGACTGGTTTGAGTCGCGCTCACCGTCTTCCCTGTGATCACGTGCTGTTTTCTATGGTTTAGACGCAACCACTGAAGATAATCAAAGTCGTGGGTAATTTCCTTCTAACAATTAGGCAAACTTCCGGCTAAATAATCAATCTGTTTTTGTAATAATAATATAGACGGCGTACTAACATATTTGTCCTTGTGTCGTATGATCTTCTCGGCTTTGATCATTTCCCTCGTTAATTGGTTGACACTTTTGCCTAACACGGTGCTGCTGTTGAAATGTTGGGCAAAAGTGTCAACCAATTAACGAGGGAAATTACTGAAGCTGAGAAGATCATACGACTCAAGGACTAATGTGTTAGTACGCCATCTGTATTATCATCACAAAAAGAAGACTGATTATTTAGCCGCAAGTTTGCCTAATCGTTAAAGAAAATTTTTTGCCGTTTTATTTGTCTTTTTCTATTTAAAAATCATCTCAAATTAAAGTAGAAGTAGAAGCAGAGATTAATCACGCAACACAAAGTTGTTAGTGAGCGCTGTGCGAGAGTTTTATTCCTTTTGTGTGTGTGAAAGCTAGAGTGACAGTTTTTTGAGTGCGCTGCAACGTCGACCAACATGAACAACCAACTCGCCCAATCTGAGGTACTATACACTCTTTTACCAAACATTTTAGTACACTTTTCTAGTCTGGGGGACAACTTGTCAAACTAACCATAATGGGCTTCTTAGTTTACAAAAGTGTATGATACAAATTATAGCAAACGCAAGCTATAAAGCAAATGCCGAAATATTACTTAGAAGTTTTAATATTTTACTGCTCATTAAACTACACACTTTAAACTTGGATAGCTTATTGATACAAAAGGAATAAATAATTTTGTCTTACCTCCTTCAAATTCAATGGAATATAACTTCAGGGCAAGGTCGGCATACAAATTGCCGTGAATTAAAACAAATTATGGCACGTAAACGATCTACTTCCAAGTCACCTGGCTCTTACGCGTCACGGACTGCAATGCAGCATTTACCAGTACAAGCAGTACTGAAAAAAAAACAAAAAAACTTTGCTTCCCTTTGCGTTGATTGTTTTTGTTACTTTTTTAGAAAACCGTGACCAGTCATGTATAAATATTTTTTTTTTTTTGCTCAATCTTAGTTGTTGTTGTTGTTGTTTTTTTAATTTATCCCCTGAATGTTTAAGATTTGCAATTTGTATGTATACACGACTTTTACATATGGTCAGGCAAGTAGCCAGGAAGGGGGGGGGGGGGGCACCCCCCTCCCCCCTTTTTCGATATCTTCCAGTTTGCTGAGGCCTTCTCTTACATTTTGTCATTGGCACGCACGCGCCCCTTTCCCCCCGGAATCAAAGTTCTGGCTACGTGCCTGCGTACGGTTATATATATTCCTGGCTTTTTGTGACATTACCTCACCTCTTTTGTGATGCTCTTTTAATATTTTTTTAACTGTGAATATTCTTACATTCTTATACAAACCTTAAGTGATGTTTGTGACAGACTGCGTTTTTCTTATGTTTTAGTGTCAGTGTATACATTATTACATTTTACAAATAAATGTAATAATTTCTATATTATGTGAAATTGAACTGTGTCCTTTTGCAGTTTTTGATGTATGCGTGAACTGCTCTTTTCTCCCTTCTGTATTTTTTTTGTGTTTTAAATGTGTGAATGTGTGCTCCTGGACCCGCCTCACGTCGACCGTGGTACCTCATTAGGCGACACGTTTGCCTTTCGTACCACGGACCGTTTCAAGGAGAGGAATCTTATCTTGGAAGAAATAAAATGATTTCATTTCATTTTGACAATAGTCGAGAAAATATGGTATATCCTGG